ACGTTGGAATTTTAAAGGTGTGTGGACTTCAACTCCCAGAATTCCCCAGCCAGCACACCTCTTAAAGTTGATGAGGTTGAGAAACCCTGACTGAGGATTCAGAATTCCCCCCAGCAAGCCTGGCTGGGGAATTCTGGGAGTTGAAGTCCACACACCTTAAAGTTGCCAAGGTTGAGAAACACTGGTCTAGAGAACTCAGGCCTGTGGTCTCCCATAGTCCAACTTACAACTTCTGTTCTCTCACAACAAGGATACATGTCTCTATATTGGCTCCAACAATGTAGCCAGCTACATCAAAATTAATCCGAATAAATTTACCCTGGGGGTGGAAAAAGAGGTGGGAAAATGAGAGCAGTCAGGAGAATGACATGGCTTATACAGAACATTTGTTCAGTATTTTAAATATTTTTTTAGATGCCACTGAACTGCAGAAGCTGGAAACAAATTCCCCTGATCAGGTCAGTTAGTAATGGAGCTAAGATTGGTCAATCTTTCCTAAACGGGAAGAATAGAAACCTATCACCACAAACAAGCAACAAAAAAACCGAATAGAAAGTAATAATACAGTGGAATGTGAATCTCACTCTTCTGCCTTTCATCGAGGAGGAAGAGAATTCCTTGGTATTTTCCTTTCTTCTCAAAGGAGTGGCTAAAAACCAATGTTTTTAAAAAAAAATACAAAAGGAAGCTGAAAAAAAGACTTTCAGTGACAAACTGGTTTTTCTTCCCAAGGAAATACGGAGTTTGTTGGCATAGCTCAACAAACAGAAGGGTTTTAAAAAGGCATTTATATATTTTGCCCTTTCTAAAGAATGGAATCAAAGAAATGGCAGATGAAATTGAAGGCTATATTTAAAAAGGTTTGCAAGCATAACCTTTTAAGGCTTTTTTTTTTTATGTATGTCTGCTTTGGTGCATTTAAAAGAGCAAAGTGGGTATCCTCAGCTGAAGCTACCCACAGCACCATTAAACTCTTTTATGCCAAAATATCATGGCAATTTTTCCAGCTGGAGGGTGAAGGGCAAAAATAGGTGCAATACAGGTAGTCCTCATTTAACGTCCACTCGTTCAGCAACTGTTCAAAGTTACAATGGGGCTGAACAAAGGGTATTTACGACCGGTCCTTGTAGCTGCAGCCACTGCAGTGTCCCCGCAGTCACATGAACGTGATTTGGGTGCTTGGCAACCAGCTTGCAATTATGACGTTGCAGCATCCCATGGTCACGAGACTCCCATTTGTGACCATCACTGCCGGCTTCTGACAAGCAAAGTCAGTGGGGAAGTCAGCAGGAGGATGCAAATGGTGATCACATGACCATGGGACGTTGCGACCATGCAGGATTCACCTAACAGTGGCAACTGGGACTGCCAGAATGGCTGTCATAAGTTGGCACAGTCACATGACATTGCACCTTATGATCATGTTGCTTAGCAACAGAAATCCCGGTCCCAATTACTGTTGGTAAGTGAGGACTACCTGTATGAAAGCCCCCATTTTGTCCCTTTAAAGCCATGATCATGCAAAATAAATAAATAAAGCGGAATGTTACTCTATCCTCTTGAATGGTATCATTATACCATGCACATCCCTTGCAGTTATGGACGAAACACCAAGTGCCAAGCCCTTAGGCCAAAGATTTGTCCAGCATTATAACAGGACAACACATTCTTATTTTATGTTTGAGGAGGAATTGCTGGAAGCTAATGGCCAAACCAAACAGAAGAACAGTGTCTTGGTCCTTCAGGTCTCCTCATCAGTAACACTGCTTCTTTCAACTAAATGGCCGCACAGCTTAACTTTTTTTTTTTCAGTAAGAGAAAGATGTATTTTTTTAAAAAATCCAGATTGTCTACCAACATGAGATGTTCTACTTACAAACTTAGAAACACTTTGGCATTTTCTGTAACTATTTTTTGTTTGGTGGGAGGAAGGGCCTTTTAATTAATAACACCTCAACTGGACCACTCCACTTTAAGATGTGTAGATGTCAACTCCCAGAATTCCCCAGCCCCATGTTGGCTAGGGAATTCTGGGAGTTGAAATCCATACATCTTCAAGTTGCCAAGTTAAGAAAAACACTGCTGTAAACAAACGTTCTCCAGTTTGGTGCCTTCCAGATGTGTTGGACAATGTTTCAACCCCCAGCCAACTAGGGAGTTATTGGAATTGTAGTTCCTACACATTTGGAATATGAGAAGAGTGATGCAGATCAATTAGCAGGTTTGGACAGAAGAGACTATCTTACTGGAAAAGATATCCTTATGGTATAACTGTTTGGCAGCTATTGTCACTTGCTGGAGCTGTGTGGGAAGCACTCTTAGCTTGAAGGAAGGGAGACCATACAAACATATATGGTAACAACATTTAAAAGGGGTATGAACCACCCTTTAGAACAGTGTTTCTCAACCTCGGCAACTTTAAGATGGGTGGACTTCAACTCCCAGAATTCCTCAGCCAGCATGCTGGCTGGGGAATTCTGGGAGTTGAAGTCCACCCATCTTAAAGTTGCCGAGGTTGAGATGCTGGCTGGGGAATTCTGGGAGTTGAAGTCCACCCATCTTAAAGTTGCCGAGGTTGAGAAACACTGCATTAGAACGACTGGGGTTTCATGTCCCAGATTTGAAAATATTTTCCATTGCTAAAAAAGATGCTATGTTCTCTCTCAAATCCAGGGTTCAGTTGGTCTGAAATGGAAGCTGCTAAACAGGATTCTCATTCTATAGATTTCTGAGATAGGGGATTTCTCTATCCACGCTAACTTACGAATCGTGAGGAATTGTCGTTTTTAACCGTTTTTGCATTGCCGAAGGCCTCCAAGATGGGGTTGGCTTGCAGTAGCTGACGCTCCAGTTCGCCCTAAATGAAGGAAGAGGAGGGAGGGAGGAGGGAAAAGGGGTTAGCAGCAACCTATGCAGGCCGCTGGCCTAGCAAAGCTTTTGGGCCGAGGAAGTGCTCCAAGAAATTCGAGGGGCAGCCAGGGGAAAGCTGTTCCCCAAAATTACTCACATAGGAAGCCGGGCTGGAAGTCTAGGGAGGGTGGGAAGGGGGTGACATGACAAAAGATACAATGGGAAGGCAGAGCAAGGAGCAAGACAGGGAAACAAAAAAGTCAAAGGATTAAATCAGACGATGAACATCACAACAGGAGCCCAACCACAATAATGTCGGGACATAAACTGGGGACCAGCACAACAGAAAACCGGTGGCGCCGGACTCCCACACCACCTGTATTCCCTTCCCCACCCCCCCCCCCCTCCCCCACCCCCCCACCC